AGTAAAGCTTTATTACGGAAACATTATTTAAAAAGGTTGCCAACTGTTTAAAGTCCAATTAAACTGAATCAGGATGTCAAATAAAACAGGTTTAAGAAAACTTTATTTTCATAATATTTTTAAGAGGGCTGCCACGTTTTTAAAAGTGAAATTCAATTGAACGAAATATATGTGAAAAATGCTTATGAAAACATGTTTGAAAAATGTGCCACCTGTTTAAGAAATGAAATTCAATTTAACGGAAATTTCCAAAATGGAATATCAACAAAGATTTTGCAACAAAGATTTTCCACCTTTCCCACTTTATTTACAATCAAATTATTTAGGAAAGAATTTCCACTTATAAAAAAATGTTAAAAATTTAATATGTATGTATAGTACAGATACTATAAATACCAGCTACAAACTGTAATTTAGTTGAGGATTGATACATTGACCATGTTATGGTTACTCGAGGCAATGAGCAACTTTCTTTTTAAATAAAATTTGTTATTTTCGCTGAAATAATTTATTTTCTTTTTTACGAAATTTTAAATCGTTATATTTAAACGAGCAAAGCTTGTATAATTTAAAGCTCCATTTGATTTTTTATACAAACTTGCTTCTTTCTAAAGCAGGTTCGAACAAAGTTATTCTACCCCGTTTGGAGTTACACGAACCCTAGACGTGCAATAACTGTTCAGTTACGAATTTAATATTAAACACAAGCCACCGCCGCTTGCCACATGAACCGCAAAATGGCAAACATGACAAAATCTAGTTATATAGACAAATTTTCCAATCAATCAGCTTAATATAATCAGAGCAGTGCAACAATGTAGGGGAAGTAAAGCTGAAAGTGCACACACACATACTACATACTTGAATGTCCATTTAGCTGTGAGCACTGTCTCTACACAAGCTGCGAGTAGGTAAACAAGGCAAAAATTTCGCCACACACACACACTCACTGTAGGCGACCAAGTAAAGCGATGGAATATTTAAAACAATGTCAGCAAAAATCTATAATCAAACCTGAGCTTTCAAGGCACGTCGAACTGATGCTGATGGTGAGTTAACTTTTTTAATCAATCGAGCGCACACAAAAAAAGGGCAAAGACGATTGCAAACAAGCATGCAAAGAGAGTGAATGGGCGCTTGGGTGAGCACTCTTCAATGTGAATGTTTGGTGGTGTGTACTTGACTTGTGAAAAAAGCGCCGCAGGATAACCGACTACCAACAAAATCCACTTCTTAGCTGATTGTGAGCTGGTGAAATTTAGAGTGACGCAAAGGTAAAGAAATGCATTCACAGGCAGGCGGCATCCACCAGTCACCAGTTGGACAGTTAGACAGTTGCAAAGTGAAAGTGAAATTTTACCAAGAGCACACGATCGAAGGTTGATTGGCGGACGTTGGGTACGAGTAGAATGAAAGTGGCAAAGACATTGATAATTATTGGAGCAGAATTAATTAATGCATACTTTCAGGTGAACTGACACGAAACACAGCAAGTGCAATTACTTAGTTAGTAGCTAGTAGCAGGATGAGGATGAGGATGAAAAAAAATTAACGATAGACCAGCAAGGTGAGAATCAAACAACCGAGAATGCATTGGCGCTATCTTAGCACCAGTGCCAAGCAAAATCGATTAAGCCAAATAATTTAATGTGAAAGCAAACAGAATTGCAGGCGCAAGGCAACGCTTGCACAAGCAATAATTTGCAGCAGAAAAGCAAATACATGTCGAATGGAATGGAATGTTATAAAATTAAGCGAATTAATTGCAATACCGACATGACTTGCAGCAGCAGTGGCTGAGTAAGTTTACGTGTTACGTTAGGCGAAAGCAAGCCAATGCATTGCTGAAGGATTTGCGATGCACAGGAGACGTGATGACGCTGAGCAACACATAAATAAATAAACAAGAAACATGATCGGCACAATTAGAATGCCAATTTCTGTGTTGCTCCGCCAAGCGGGAGGGTCTGCTTAAAAAGAGTGGAAACGTGTAAAAGTCAAGGCACTATTAAAATAATAATTAACATTAACATTAACATTAACATTAACATTAACATTAACATTAA